CTCAAACTAGTTAAGAGCAACTAGTTTGAAACTGAATAAAAGTTAATTGTATTTCATGAAATTTAGGTGATGTGTTTTCAAAATCAATGTTTGTTATGAATAAAGAAGAAAAAACATACACCAAGATAATAAAAATAAAAACACTTTTTAATTGACAAAACAGAAACTAGACAGCTTTCAGTAATGGCCTAAAGGATGTAATTATTATTTATCAAATTTCATGTACTTGCTGTACCAGTTTCTCTCATCAGTTATGTATTTCTTAGGTATAGAATTAGACTAAGTACAGATGAAAGCATTCCCAGAAGCCCAACTTCCCAAGTCTTCAGCTTTCCAGCCCACAGAAACCCTCTTGGGAGCCAGTTGATAGCATTGGTCAAGTCAGCTATGTATTTTATAAGAGCAATAGTGTGAAAAAGCTGCTGGTGTTCTATAAGATGATAAGCTTCTCTGAAACATTAAGACATACAAATATTGTAAACTAAGACATTCAGAACAGCCAAAAACTTGTTTTACTGTTTATGTAACAGTGTGGTAAAGCTACTTTTCACATAGTCTGGACTTGTGGATCTGAGGGTTGATGGTTTACATCTTATATATATATAATTACTTAACAACCTATCTGAGAAAAAAGTTTATGTTTAGAATCATTGATAAAAAAATCAAACTAAATTAACATGTACTAAACAAGAAACATTAAATCATATAGAAAACTGCTGACAGTGGCTCAGGTACAAACATACAAGACCTGTGAGGTGATGGGGCACCACAAGAATCTGTGTGACTGAAAATGTAAAATATATATATAGGAAATTTTATAAGGTATGTTTAAAAGTATATTTTAAGAGGCATTTGTGCATTATCATAGAATCACCATTATTGTGGTCATTTTATATTAACTTACAGGAGATACTACACACAAGGATACACCCTCATGAAGGTCACTAGTAATCTTACAGATTTACAACATTTATACTTTGACTTTGTTGTCAGTGAAATATCTGAAAATGCCTACCATGACAACATTTATAGTTTGATTTAGTTAGTGAAATATTTGGAAATGTATACCTCGACAACATTAATACTTTGATTTAGTCAGTGAAATATCTAGAAATATCTACCTTGACAACATTATTACCTTGAGTTAGTTAGTGAAATATCTAGAAATGTCTACCTTGACAACGTTTATAGTTTGATTTAGTTATTGAAATATCTAGTAATGTCTACCTTGACAACATTTATAGTTTGAAGTTAGTGAAATATCTGGAAATGTCTACCTTGACAACGTTTATAGTTTGATTTAGTTATTGAAATATCTAGTAATGTCTACCTTGACAACATTAATACCTTGAGTTAGTTAGTGAAATATCTAGAAATGTCTACCTTGACAACATTAATACTTTGATTTAGTTAGTGAAATATCTAGAAATATCTACCTTGACAACATTTATAGTTTGATTTAGTTAGTGAAATATCTGGAAATGTCTACCTTGACAACATTTATAGTTTGATTTAGTTAGTGAAATATCTGAAAATGTCTACCTTAACAACATTAATACTTTGATTTAGTTAGTGAAATATCTAGAAATATCTACCTTGACAACATTTATAGTTTGAAGTTAGTGAAATATCTGGAAATGTATACCTTAACAACATTAATACTTTGATTTAGTTAGTGAAATATCTAGAAATATCTACCTTGACAACATTTATAGTTTGAAGTTAGTGAAATATCTGGAAATGTATACCTTAACAACATTAATACTTTGATTTAGTTAGTGAAATATCTGGAAATGTATACCTTGACAACATTAATACTTTGATTTAGTTAGTGAAATATATAGAAATGTCTACCTTGACAACACTTATATTCTAACTTGGTTAGTGAAATATTTGGAAATGTGTACTTTGACAACATTTATAGTTTAATTTAGTTAGTGAAATATCTAGAAATGTCTACCTTGACAACATTTATAGTTTGAAGTTAGTGAAATATTTGGAAATGTCTAATTTGACAACATTTATACTTTGACTTGGTTAGTGAGATACCTGTTTTACTGAAAATGTCTACCTTGACAACATTTTTAATTGTGCATATGACTGTTGGTAAAGTGTACATTAATCATATATGGCTTACCTAATTTCTTTTTCACACTGTTTAAGAAGAAGCTGCTTCTCCTTTCGAAGTATTACAAGAATTCTTAAACACCTGTAAATTATAAAAAATATATACTTTCTAAATTTAACTTACAGTACATTTATGGCATGCTGAGCAAAATCGATACCAATCAGTAAAACTCCTGATTCTTCAACAATCATGAAAACAATTGAAACTTCTCTTCTAATAATCTAGGCAAGTGGGTAGTATGTATTTTTCAGGGTTAAATATAAAACCACAACAACACAACTGACTTTTTACTAGAATGGTACAAGGAAAATAACATAAACATTAACTACATAGTGCTCATTAATCCATACTGTGTGTGTGTGTGTGTGACTGCCATAGCTCCAAGAAACCTGAAATCTTGCACCTGGATATTGTTACTTGTCTTATCCATGTGCATGCTAGTTTGCATTTTTTTAATGAGGCAAGCTAGGAAAAAAAAACATTGAAAGAAAGTGGTTCCTTATATTATAAATAGAAATCACAGACAGCCACGCATGTGAGTGCGTGCACCCATGCACATCCTTTTAAGGAGGCAAACTAGTGAAACACTATATAGAAAAGAAGTGGTTCCTTATATACCAACTTCTAATATATAGAAAAGCCAGTGCATTTTAGTAACAATGGCTTTTATGTCATGTTGCTTAGAAACAAAAGTATAACCTAAAATTGTTGTTAGCCTATGTACTGAAAGTATAAAAATGAAATATATAAGCTACAAAATCGAAAAAATATTTGTTGATTTCTTAATTTAGAGTCTCCGTTGATTAAATTCAGAAACAATTTAAGTTTAAAACTGGATCGATATTTTTACTTGCATGATAAATTTTATGCACTTAGCTCTAGGCTAGTTTATCTCACACTATGTCTTTATTTTAGGCTTATTTATTAATTTCTTATAATACTAACATTCACTACACTTACAAGGTTTCATGGCCTCCTTGCATCTCCATCACCAAAATCATAATGGGCAGACATTAAACAAACTATTCTATCTGGATAAATGCATTTTGGCTTTTATGACACCTCTTGTTTCAAGAAATCAAGCAAGATGTGACTCACACATTTGCTTTTTATATAGGTTAGATAATGTGACATATAGTAGCATCTATTATTATCATATCTTTATGACTTTTTTATGTTTCTGGGAAATAAAAATATATTTAAAATACACACTGACATGGTCATCTAGAATATATCAACCTAATGACCTGAGCAAAGCCGGGTACTTTTGCTAGTCTATAATAATAGAAGGGTGTGTCTGTGTGACCACCATAGATCCAAGAGGATAGAACCTAGAAACCTGAAGTTTTGGACCTTGAGGGTGTGTACCTGGGTATCATTACTTATCCATGTGTGTGTGTGTGCACTCCTCATAGTATACCCTGCAGTATATCAGTTACATTAATAACTTCTAATATATATATAAAATCCAGTGCAGCTTGGTAACAATGCATTCCAACAATGACTTTTATGTCATGTTGTTGAACAACAAAAGTATAACCTAATATTACTGTTAGTCTATGTACTGAAAGTATAAAGTGAAATGTATAAACAACAAAACTGGAATGATGTTTGTTGATTTTGTAATTTAGGGTCTCCATTGATTAAAGAGGTTTGTATTTTATTTAAAATGTTGGTGATATATAAAAAATACCTTAATTCAGAAACAATTTAAGTTTAAAATTGAATCGATATTTTTACTTTCATGATAAATTTTATGCACTTGCTAAAATAATCATCCTAATAACACATGCAAAGCAAGGTACTTTTGGTAGTTAATAATAAAGGAAAACTGAGTGCATGCCTTAATCTGGCACACAATTATACAGTTTATATCACATGCACACAGTAACCAGGTCATACAGTACATACATCCATAGCTATGACAAGGGATATGGAATACACAAGCTTAATGAACATGCATTAAACTAGGAAAGACTAGTCACTGCATAACCTAGAAACAGTCCTCTTCAAACTGTCTAAAGGCAAGCCTTTATAGAGCTAAAATAAGTTAAAAACAAGAATCAGAAGTACCTTTATAAAAAAATAAAGTTAAGGAATGTAGCTTAAAACCATTTGAAATTTGTTGTCAAGGAAAATTTGGAAATAATATTTTGCACATTATTTTTCACACAAATAATTCCAACATTAACACTTATTCTGACACAGTTGTTACTATGCTACAGACCATAACTCTACCATTCACACATTGTACTCCTGATGCACTACCATTCACATGCACTGGAGCAAACAAGAAAAAATTAGATCAATGCTTAGGTGGGCAAAGGAAGAAACCCCGGCAGTCGAGTAACAGCTGTAGTGTGAGAGTAGTATGTTTTAGAAGCTCTGATCTACATTCATTATATATTTTGTATACAACCTCACTGTAAGGACAGGTAAAACATTCTTACCCAGCAACTCCAAAGAAGAGAGACCAGCCCCATAAAGATGTCCCTAGTGTGGTCCAAAAGCTCTGATCCACACTGATGATACCTTTTGTACTTGCCCAGCTTATGTGTTCTGATGGATAATAAAGTTGGTCAGCAATGTTGGTTAAAACACCCAATAAACGTAAAAGTTTATCACGCTCCTGGAAAAACATACAAAAATTTAGGTTTTGAATACGTGTATAAAATCATCCTTGTCTAACAGCTATCTTTAGTCATTTGTTTAAAATGAATCAAGTTAGTAACATGAAGAGACCACTTATATATTTTGTTACAGTAAATGTGTGATTCTAATTCTCATTACACATATAAAAGTTCAAACTTATGTAACAGATTTTCTTAATATTATTTTATCACTATTATTAACTAGAAAAAGAGATAACACCCAGCTAATTGACTCACAAAACCAAAAGTGACTGATTTTTGCCAGAGGAAAGAGATGAGACAATAATGTGAAAATATAAAGGTACTTAACAAAAATAAAATAAATTAACAAGTTGATTTTACAAAAACTGGATGAGAATAAATGGTTTTACTGATAGCCAAGTACCTAGAAACTAGATAAAAAAGTAAAAGTACAGCATTTCATTACATGTTTAGCTATGAAGAGCAAGGTAAGTGACATGGCACTTTGCAAGTCAAGGCCAACATCTGAAGTGAAAAGCCACACAGACTTTCATGACTTGATCAGTTACACTCAATGGCCATTTATACACTGAGAATTCACAACTGTGTAGTAAGACTGAAGTGATGCTCCTGTAGTTTTATTACTTTTTTACTTAATCCTATGTAATATACAGTGGTGGTGGGGGAAGTAAAAATGTGCATGCCATGACTTTTTAATACAGATAAAATCAAAAATAAATTTAAAAAACTTTATTATCATTATATGTCAATATACTTGACATCAAATCATAGTCTACAATTCAAATTTTATTATGATATAAGTTTTAATTTCAAAAGGAAATATTTAAATAAATTCTCAATCTTTACTTCTCTGTATCATGTGATATTTATTTGCTCCAAATTGCCCAATATAGATTTTCTTTCTATCCCTATATGATTTTTTGAGTCTGGCATAAACTGACATTTATAGTATAGGTATTGCTATACCATAATGTAATCTTATAGTCTCCAATATTCTTGTTTCTCTGAGATATAAACAGAATAGTCAAACCCACATGCCATCCCCTCTTATCACATTCTGTTTTCAAATAAGGATAATTCTCTCTGACATTGCTACTTGTAATTTATATGATTAATAGAGGGAGCAAGTTGTATACTATGTAACTCACATGGTCATCTCCTCTGAGCCATAAAAGTCAATAATTTGCCAACAGAGCTTGATGGATTTGGACTTAAGACAACATGAGAAATGTTTTTAACTTATTTATAGGTTAGTTCAATAGATAAATTATAGAAGTTTTGGGGAATTCAATTTTTACTGTTTTAATGATATTTGTTACTTTAAAATGTATATTTCAAAGTTATGTAAATTATTTTTTGGTTAACCAACACAGTGATAAAAAGTAAGTGTTACTAAAGTATGGACTCCGAGTACAAACAGCCTTAAAGTTTAAAGTAAATGCTAAGTTTCTTGTTTTGATGTATATTTTTTATTTATTGAGAAAAGTAACTAAAACTTATCAGATTTGGGGACGAGGAACCCACTTTGAGACTAATAATGGCTGGAGACGGCTTGAATGGGTAATGAAGAAAAACTTTAATATAAGTTTAACATAACAGCAAATGTACAATGTTTCGACAAGGTTTAGTCATCATCAGGTACAAGTAATTTACACTGACATGAATATATATATACATATATATATATATATATATATACAGTATTGAACAGATTGACAGAACACAATAAAAAACCGTCCCATGCTTTTCACCGTTGC